AAAGGTGTGCGCCACCACCACCCAGCTTGTTTTTGTTTTTTCAAGACAGGGTTTCTCTGTGTAACTATGGCTGTCCTGGAACTCACTCTCTAGACCAGGCTGGCCTTGAACTCAAGAGATCCACCTGCCTCTGCCTTCCGAGTGCTGGGATTTAAAGGTGTGTGCTACCATGGCCCTCAATGTCCCATTTCTTAAACTCCTGAATTCCCTTTTTGTTTTCCGCACAGGGTTTTTCTGTCTCCTGCTGGGGATGGGGGTAAACAGCACTGTGCCTGGCCCCCCTTTATTCGTCTTCCACATTAGACTTTGGCCTCACATAGAATAAAGCAGTGTTCTAAAGATGCTTTTCTCCTCACCCCAAACTCAACGGAAGGAGACATGAAGGGCGGAACTGTCATTCTTCACCTCACTCTGAGGTCGCTGCCCTCTGATGGCAATACCATCAAAAGGTTTGAAACACGAGTCTAGGTATCTTGTATGACAAAAGTGCTAGGCACACTCTCTTTGGGATTTTTTTTTCCAATTAATGTTTATCTGGACCATGGTATTATAACGTAATATACGCACCCAATTGTAAAGGAATTAACGAATAATGAAATGCAAAGGCCTCTTTCTCCAGTGCCCTCTTACTTCAGGAGAGCACCTTTGCAAGAATGGGAGCTGTTTATTCTGACATTTACCACGATGTGCCTAAATCTTGTGCTTACACTGCTGTTTTTCGTAGATGGAATAAAAATGTTTATTTTGAAACATGAGTATTTTATCCACTTTCATATTTTCATCAACATCCCAGTGTTGTTCAGTGAATATCATACTTTCATTTGTCCATGACTGTCCTTTTCCTTTCACTTTTTGTTGCTAGATTGTGTTTGCTTTAGAACCAGAGTCTCTCTAGGTAGCACAGGCTAGCCTCAGACTCACAGGTCTCTTGCTACAGCACTAGACGGGAGCACCAGCACCTCCAGCTGACGACACAATTTTCTTGTCCATACATTTTGATAACATACTGCTTTTCTTCTGTCCTTTCAGTTTTTATATTAACACACATTAATTGTACATATAAGGTTCAATGTGATTGATCCATATATGCACACAGCATTCACGCTTCAACCCCCAGACTCTGCTTAATCATTATTCTTTCTGGTTGACTTTTTTTTTTTTCTTTAAGACAAGACTCAAGAATCCCAGGTGACCTCAAAATTGCTATGCAACCAAAGAGCTTCCAATCCTCCTGCCTCCACCTCCAATGCAGGGATTACAGGCATGGACCACTATGTCCAGTCTTACGGGGTGCTGGGAATCAAAACCAGGGCTTCCTGCATGCTGACTGAGCACCCTAACAGCTGAGCTACTCCCCAGCCTGCTCAGGTTGACATTTTTGGCTGTCACATATGAGACTATGTGGTACTTCTGTGTGCACTTCATCTCACTCAGAGTGTCCTCCAGTTCCATCCTTTGGGCTAATAACAGGATTTCACTCATCTTATGGCTCTTAACACTGTATGGGGTATGTGTATATAGTGTATTGCCATTATCCACTCAACTGTTAACAGACACCTCCGCAGGTCTGCATCTTAGCTATCACACATAGTACTGCACTAAACTTTCAGTTTAATTTTTAAAAATGAGCAACTCCCACCATCTTCTATTCTATTCTTTTTTTTTTTTTTTTCTAATGTGCATTGGTGTTTTGGTTGCCTATATGTCTGTGTGAAAGTGTCAGATCCCCTGGAACTAGAGTTACAGACAGTTGTGAGCTGCCATGTGGTTGCTGGGAATAGAACCCAGGTCCTCTGAAGAGCAGCCAGTGCTCTTAACCGCTGAGCCACCTCTCCAGCCCCTAGTATTTCTATACTTATGTGTACATGTTCACCTGTTAAGTCATTGAAATTTCAAGCTTGACAGAAAATTGAATGTATATTAGTCTTGTAAAACATTTGTTCTGTTGTGGAGGGAAGGGTCTTAGGCTACAACTGTTTTATAAACTACTAAACAGAAAATTTTCAAATGACTAAGATTCTTTTTTGTTGCGAGGTAATTTTGGGCAGAAGACTGCAGTTTTACCTTTCCAATGTAAGCTTATATATTCCAGATGAATAAACACTTTTATCCACAAGGCTCAGGGACTCACCGATCCTTTTCATTCTGCTTTTAGATTTGATTTTATGTGTATGAGCATTTCACCTTTATGCGTGTCTGCGAAAATACGCAGCAAATGGACCCACGGCGAGTGACGCCAGCCTCGCTGTGAAGCGGTGCCAGGTTTCTGGTCCTCTAAGGCTCTGGATGTCAGATCCTGGGTTACTGTAAAGGGCAGCAGGGCAAATAATCTTGGCATAATGTGAAGACTGAAAGCATAGTAATTCTAGCAACAACTGACTTCCTCCAAGTGCTCTGCTTACTTTGGGATTGTACTCTGAAGAAATTACAATTAGATCCCCTCACTGCAGATTTACAACTCTGTAAGTATCTTTACCTGTTTTCTACTCTCACCTCTAGAAAGTCTGAAACACAGACCCAACCCCTCCCTACAGTATAGTATCCTGAATCTTTTTTAAAGTTATATAATATACATAAAAAATAGGCAATATATTTTGATCATATTACCTCTCCTCCCCCAACTCCTTCAAGATCCTCTCCACATACCCACCCACCCAACTTCATGTTCTTTCTCTCATAAAAAGGAAAAAACAAACAAAAGACGAAAATCAAAACAGACACGCAAACTAAAAAAGGAAAATCCTAAGATGAAAACTACCAAAAAAGTCGGGCGGTGGTGGTACAGGCCTTTAATCCCAGCACTTAGGAGGCAGAGGCAGGTGGATCTCTGTGAGTTCAAGGCTAGCCTGATCTACAAAGTGAATGCCAGGACAGCCAGGACCATTGCACAGAGAAACAAAAACAAATAAACAACAACAACAGCATATATAAAAAACATGGGGTCTGTTCCGTGTTGGCCAGCTACTCCCAGCATGGGGCCTGCCCTGGAGTGTGGTTTATATACACAGCGGCACTCCACTAGAGAAAACTGGTTTCTCCTTTTCAGCAGGTATCAGATGCAAACAGACTCTTGGTCAGGGTGGGGCTTTGTGTCCACCCTTTAAACAACACGCAAACATGTTGATGGGCCTGCTCACCACCGACCGCCAACAAGATGTAACTACACTTAATAGCATTTTAAAGACGAACTGTGAAATCCATGTCTAATTCTTTTTTCGTCACTCTCACAAACAGTCAGGGTCAGCTAAGCAACCCCGGTGGCAAGGATGGGCGAGGGGTGGCAGGGTGCCAGCAGGAGCCGAGCGCTTTCACATTTCTCCTCTCCCACCCTGGCAAAAAGAAATTGGAGAGGAGTACCAATAAGATAAGAACTGGAAACATTCCTTTTTTTTTTTTTTATTAAGAAAGCATGCAAAAAAAAAAAAAATCAAGTTGTGAGCCTATACACCCTCTTCCCAGCCTGCACCAATGCAAAGCATTATGGGTGGTATAAAGAACTCACCAAACCAGAAACATGGGAGTTGAGGAGAGGAAGCCTAGGATAGGTAGATCAATACCAAATGACTTCTCCTTTTGTCCTTCTCCTCTGCTTTTTCCCTTATTCCCTCTTATAGGCAGTGACTCCTACAATTTTGCACACATCACCCAAGACAATAACAATGACTAAACTTCACGTCCAGCAACACTGGACCAACAAAATAAAGTAGTTTTCTTTCCACTTCATGGAGGGGATGGGAAACTGAGGCCCAAAGGGAATCAAGTTTGTCCTGTGCCATTTTCTAAGCCTGAGCCTGGTGGAGGAGAGCTGGAACCCCAGGAGGCCTAAGGCCAGTCTCCAGGCCCCAGCTGCTCTGGCTGCCCACCGGGGCCCTTCATGAGACTAGTTCTCAAGACATGCTGGAGCCAGGGGCATTTAGGAGTATGATTCAGCCTACCCTTCCCAACCTTGTACAGATCTGACCAGGAAGGTGTTTAGAAAGAGGAGTGTTACTCTGAAAAGGCAAGATGTTGAGGAAAACCAAAGGGGAGCTGCGTAGAATACACCTGAATGGAGGGAATAAGGAGATGTCTAATTGGGCACCCGGCGATGGCATGTGCCACCCTCGAGAGAAACACTCCCTTCCCCAGTGGGAAACATTGATCATACTTCAACCCCACCAAATGCTCTCCAGTACCATCCTCCACTGTGTTGTAGGGCATTTGTTTTTTCTTATATCCCGCCCCCCTCCTTTTTCCTTACAAAGGCTTCAAAAGAAATAAAGTGCTCTTTAGTGAACTGCCCTGTCTTGCCCCTTCACCTAGCCTCACTGGACCTCACCAATCTCATACATTAACCCCCTTCTGAAGAACGGAAAGGGGCGGATGAGGGGGAAATCGGGATGGGAAGCCCGGCATCTTGGAAATCATGAGTAAAGAAAAGAAAATGAACAAAAATCAGAAAGCACAAAGAGATTGGCCTTGTCTAAACTATGTACTTTGTCCATTTCAGAAAAATGGAGGTAAACTGGTCTTCCCTCTCATAAGCCAAATTTAACAAACACACTCACTAAGAACTCTGCAGCAGTAAGTCACGGCCACTTGCTGTTAATGGAGGTTACTCCTCCCCATGCCCGGGAGTCCCTTGCCTTTACTGCATCCTGTCTCCATATTAACGTCCCTCCTATGATTTTCATTGCCTGCCAGAATCAAAAGCTTCAGTCCCGCTGACAGGGATTTCAAGAGAAGCGCTCCCTGCCTGCGTAGTTAAACAAACGTTCCCTGCCCGAGTCTGCGCCAATCCCTTCCTCCTCCCCACCCTCCAGGCAGCAACACTGCAGGCAGAGTCTGCTGTGACGGGAAAGAGGCTTCCGCAGCATGTCCAGGACCTGAAAAAGCTCGGAGTGAGACTCGCTTCCTCTTGTCATTTGAGAGTGCCAGAAAATGGGACAAGAAAATAAGACAGGGGGATGATTTGGACAAACAGCTACAGGAAGACAACATCGTATTTGCTGAAGGGGAAAAGAAGGTGGAAGACAGTTTACATATGCAGTAATGGCCACAGTTAATTCTCAGAAAGAACTTTTCCCAAAGCCAAATGCTTTAAATTGAAAGTGTTTCCAAGAGGCTGAACCTATGATGAACAGTGGTCCTCATGCCCTCCCATTCAAGCTAACCTGAGAGTGTTAGCTAGGAGGAAGGAGGGATGCCTTGACATGGCAGGCAGAAGCCAAGGATGCCCTGACATGGCAGGCAGAAGCCAAGAATGCCTTGACATGGCAGGCAGAAGCCAGGGATGCCCTGACATGGCAGGCGGAAGCCAGGGATGCCTTGACATGGCAGGCGGAAGCAGAGATGCCTTGACATGGCAGGCGGAAGCCAGGGATGCCCTGACATGGCAGGAGGAAGCCAGGGATGCCTTGACATAGAAGGAGGAGGCCAGGGATGCCCTGACATAGAAGGAGGAGGCCAGGGATGCCCTGACATAGGAGGAGGAGGCCAGGGATGCCCTGACATGGCAATGCACACCCAACCTCATGCAGATTTATACCCTGTCACTTCTCCATGATTTTCTCCTCAACTCAGCTAAGTCCACCCTTCATGGGGAATGAGGACTGCCAGAAGAAGTAAAGAATGGGTGCATAAAGGAAGAGTTCAGGACACAATTAGCACCAATGAGTAAAACCTGCAAAGTCATGGCTGCTAAGCAGTGTCTTAGACCCCTCCCCTCGCTGAGGCCTATCCAGGCCAGCCTGAAACAGACAGGAAAGGAAGACAATTTAGAGCTGAACGGTGGAAGCAGCATTGAGTTTCTCAGAGAGAAAGCTGAACTCGAATTTGAAACCTTTCTCTATAGCTACCACGGCCTCATCTTGCATCTTCAAATAGGAAAGAGGAGGGCATAGCCCATGGTGAGGGGCAGAAGACTGGGCAGTATATAACCAATAATAACAATAATATAATTAGAATAATAATAAAAGAACTAGGAGGGAACCGGAGAATGAGGAAGGAAAGGGGTTATCTTCGGCAGCATCTCGCGGTGGCTTCTCTGACAGAGAACAGACAGAAGCTATATATCTATATACAGGTTTGGGGAGGATGGGCGGGGACCGTTCTTCCGCCACGGTGAGAATCCACACCAGGCCTTGGGCTGACGTCCATCTGACTCACTAAGTGATCAAGTCCCAGTCGAAGTCGTCAGCAATCTCCTCAGTGGCACCAGGAGGCGGGACGGGCGGCCGCGGAACCATGTGGTGCGCTGTCAAGAAGAAAGACCAGAAAGGAAGCTGGATGAGAAGCAAGTCCATCAGTCTAGATGGGGAGTGTTCTGCCCCAAGGACACCAGGAAGGACACAGGGACAGCACCAGACCGATCAGCCTGTGGTTCTTTCTGTTACAGACTGTTCATTCAGCGACACCTCAGGAAACATACCAAAGCACATGCCATAAACTCTGACAAAATAACTCAAGAAGGTGATCTCATATGAAACAGCAGCACAGAGAGTCACAGTTGCAGGGCACGGACAAAGAAGCAGGCGTCACCCTAAACACTGGAATACTGGGGCTGGAGAGATGGCTCAGAGGTTAAGAGCACTGGCTGCTCTTCCAGAGGACCTGGGTTCAGTTCCCAGCAACCACCAGAGATCTGGTGCCCTCTTCTGGAGTGCAGGCATACATGCAGGTGGAACAGTGTGTACATACATACATACATACATACATACATACATACATAAATACATCTTTAAAACAAAACTGAACTACTTGTGATCAAATAAAATGACAACAGTGAATTTTCTGAAATACATTTAAACATGAGAAATCTGTGCATGTGTACCATCTACAGGGGTTCACTGTCTCCCCACCATCAAAGACAGTTCAATCCCATGCTGAGGAAGCAACTCAGTGGTACAGTACTTGCCCAGCATACAAGAGTTTAACCCCAACACTGCAAAAAACAAATATTAAAAAAAAAAAAAAAAGATAGTTTGCCCCCAGATCCCTGATACTAATGGTCAGATGATAGGAAAACAGACGTTCATTTCATTTGCCTGTCTTCCATCTGGATTCCAAAGTTGGACATAAACATCCCTCACAGTCATCTTTTACTAACATTTATAATTTTACTTCTTTTCAGTATTGCAGTTACAAGGTAATTTTTTTAATTTTTAAAAATTATTTTACTGTATGTGTCTGTGTGTTTTGCCTGCATGTACGTCTGTGCATCACATTCACGCAATGCCAGCAGAGGCCAGAAGAGGGTATCAGATCCCCAGGAACTGGAGTTGTCGACCACTGTAAGCCATGTAAGCCATATGGACGCTGGGAATCAAACCCAGGTCCTCTGGAATAAAAGCTAGTGCTCTTGACCACTGAGCCACCTCTCCAGTCCCAGAAGTAATTTTAAAGCAATCCCAAGTTAGAGGTGTAGCTCATAAGTGAAGCCCTTGTCTAGTGTGAGTGAGGCCCTGGCTCCACTCCCAGCACTATAAAACAACACAAATTTAATGAAATAAAACGGCCTTTCTTAGTCTCACCGGATGTACACCTCCCTAGAGGGTAGCGCGTCTCATCCTCCAGCCTTGGGAACCATGCCCTCACCCATTAGCAGGTGCAGACAGAAGGCAGAGAGAGGATTCCGAAAGAAAGCAAAACACTGAGAGATGAGCGTGCTTGCCTGCCGATGAAACCCTCCCAGCTCTTACCTGGGCGGCTGTATCCTGTTGTGTCCTGGGTGGAGATTGGGTACATAGGTGCTGGGCCAGGGTAGAGATGGGAGGCTTGTGGATGCCCATAAGAGTTCACTGCCAAAGCAAAACAGAGTTACTTGACTAGGGGACTATTGTAGTCAACAAGGCAGGAAGAAAGAACATGTTCCCTGTCCCATCAGTCTCTGTCTCTCTTCCTGCAAGCAGGAAGCATTCTGCAGAAGCTACCAGTCCTCGGTTCTTAGGGTGAGAAGGGATGGATCCTAGAACTGTGAAATATCAAAGATCTGAGAATAACCAGAAACATGATAAACATGATCATCAATCTGTTTTCCCCTGCTTGACCACCCCCACCCCCTCGTGTGAAGATTATTACTTTGGAATAAGGACTTTCTTTAATAAATCCCCTCCCTTTTTAATTAGTAGTTTTGATCTCCCAAACCAAGACATGGAAAGGAACAGGCCGGCTGCTTCTGTGGTTCTTCAGGACCTCCCGCAGGAGTTCATTGAGTTGACAGATGTCAATAAACCGGTCCCAGGACTCAGCCTGGTCACTGCCTGTATGGTGCTTCCTCATTTCTCTTCTCCCTTCACCCTCCACTTCCCTCCCAGTCCACTTCTCTGGCAGCTTTGTGTGGTACCTTGGTTCATGGATGGCTCCGCTTTGCCACTGGTGAGAGCACAGGCGTCAGTGATGCGGGCAGGGGCAGGTGGTCGGTGGGAGCCCCCCTGCGGGGGCATGTGACCAGTCTGGGTGAGGAAGTGGTTGAGGGAGTCACACAGGTTGGCGATGTGGTGCTGGTCGAGGGTCCAGTTCTTCTGCTCTGCCTGCCGTAGACTCTCCATCAGCTCTACGATGAGAAGACCAGCCAGGCAACCCTAAGCAGCCAGCCACCAAAGCCACCACCACACCACCCTGGGCAGCCAGGCAGCCCTGAGCAGCCAGCCACCAAGGCCACCACCACACCACCCTGGGGCACGGCTCCCTCTCATCTTGGACCACCAGCATTGTGCACTAACAACAATGACTTATACCTTTTTCCGTTTTTGCTTATGTAAGTATATATTGAAATGTGATATGACAACAAGTATCATTAAATGGGCCAGGTTTTAATTAGTTTTTACTGCTTACTTTAACCTTATTCTGTACTCACAATTTTAGAATAAAATAGACTAGAAATAAGCCTACTCATTTCACTCTAGCTAAGGATGCTTCTTGCAAAACTGAAACTACTTTGTTGTTTTTCTTAAAGGGGAATCCCAAAATGACCATCCAGAGGCCAGGAGTTCATCTTTTTACAGTTTCGCCTTTCAACTTTCCATTCTGTTTGTTCCTTGCCAAATTTTTATTTTAATTTGCATCTCCCTGATGGATAAAAGTGTTCCAAGTGACTTAATGAATTCACTATCATCTCTGTCAGGAAGCATAACTACAAAACTGTGGTCCAGGGTCTGAATCCCCAAGAGCCTTTCCTCTTCCCCATGACAAAAGATGACAGGCATAAAGCATTGTAATATCTGAACAAGGGCAAACATCTGAGTCAAATCTGAAAACACTTATATCTTTCTTGTATAACATGCAGAAGTGATGAAAGTCTTGGTCCCACGCCCATTCGGGCATCACCGGGGTCCTAGGACCCCCCTTTGCCCCGGAGTGGACCTAAAGCGCTAACCTGAGAACTGGGACTGCTCAATGCTCGACCAGTTGAGCCGGTTCACCATTTTGAAGCTTTCCTTTAAGGAGTCGATATTGGAGCACCAGTCTGGAGGAAAGGCTGTGGAGAGAGAGGCAGGTAGTGAGGTAGTGTGGAAGAGAGCAGTCCACACATGCCAGTTTCTCACAGCTACCCACCCAGCTTTACAGCGGCATTGCCAAGAGAGCTGCGGACACTCCCTCACGGGAGATTCAGGAATGGTAGAGCGGCCCATTCTTTTAGCACCAGCAGTTCATAGGCAAATATACAAACCAATGCTAATTCATCTATGAATATGAAACGGGAAACAACGAAATCCCCAACTCAATCCTCCGTACACAGGGCTTTGTGTAGCAACTTTTATCCGATGAAGGAAGAGGGTAAGAGACTGAACCTAAAAGACCAGCTGTTAGCTTTTCCACCCACGGCTCCTCCACGCCGGCAGAACTCGGTTCACTCACCCTCCTCCCAGCTTTCTCTGTCCCCTCCGTGCTCACCAAAGCCAGAGCTGTTGATGGGCGCCTGGCTCTGCGCTTGCTGCTGCGGCGGCTGCTGGGCAGGATGGGGGTGGGCATGGTGCTGATGAGGGTGGTAGCCTCCGTGCTGCAGTGGGGGAGGATGCATGGCCATCACACCGGGGGGTCCGTAGCCTTCGGCTCCAGCTGGTTTTCCCCCTGGTGTCGTACAACCATCGGGGCTGGGGGTGTGCAGTGGAGGGGCACCCCCTACAGCGGAGGGGCCCTGAGTGGGTGCCTGGGGCTGCTGGGGCTGTGACTGCTGGGGTGGCGGCGGCTGCGGCTGCTGTTGCTGCTGCTGCTGCTGCGGCGGTGGCGGCTGCTGCTGCTGCTGAGGTGCTGGCTGCTGGTACATGTAGTAGTTGTTAGAAGGCTGCATGTCTCCCAGGAGTGAGGAAAACCCTGCAGGGGGAGGAGGAAGTAGGTAAGCGATTTGAGCTATACAGTTTCACTAAATGACATCTCTCAGGATGAGAGAGCTCGGGCAGAAGAGTTGAAAGGACAAGAGCATATTCTGTGACTGCAAGCACCCCGTGTCCCTCCTTGGAGATAACAGACCGGAAAAGCAGTTAAATAAGAGGAAAGCTTTGACCCACTGGTGACCACGGAAATGTTAATAAAAAATTTAAAAAACCTCATTGGTGACCTTTCGTGCTACTTTTAGGGGATTTAGATATAGGGCTGGAATCATTTTCAAAGGAAGTCACATAGCAGATGAAATTTAAAAATTAAATTATAACTAAAACAAAGCTATTAAGCAAGCACAGCTTGCTCCTCCTGGTTGTCTCTGCAGCCCTCTACTGTCCTGCCTGCTGGTCTTCCACAACCAGGAAATGCAGCTTGAGTGGGAAGCAGCACACAGACTAATTGATTTCCCAAGCCAACTGGGCAAGGAAGAGCCAACTTAAAGGAGTAGCCTGCAGCCCGAGGCCAAGGCAGCTCAGGATGGCTAAGAATAAGCCAACACAAAGCCATATACTCTTAACCACTAAACCATCTCTCCAATCATTAAGTTTCTTAAAACATCATGAAATACTGTTCTCAAATTTTGTTTTCTGGCTGGGCGGTGGTGACGCATGCCTTTAATCCCAGCACTTGGAGGCAAAGCCAGGTGGATCTCTGTGAGTTCGAGGCCAGCCTGGACTACCAAGTGAGTTCCAGGAAAGGCGCAAAGCTACACAGAGAAACCCTGTCTAAAAAAAAAAAGAAAAAAGAAAAAAGAAAAAAAAAAGAGGAAGGAGAAGGGAGAGAAGGGAACAGGAAAGGAGGATGGTAGAGAAGGCCTGGGAGGAGGAAGGAGCACGTAAACAAGGTGTAACAGAGCACACCTGTAATCCCAACTCTCAGGTGGGAGAAGAAGGATTAGAAACTCAAAGTCATCCTTGGCTACATTGTCTCAAGCTCAAGGCCAGCCTGGGCTATCTGCCATTCTGTCTCAATCTAACTTACTAACTGAAAAAGAAAAGTAAGTTATTTATAATAAAAAAGCAGAAGGATTCTTGGGGAAAGAGTACTACTACTGTCCCCTAGTGGTCACACTCTGAATGACTGGCTCACGGCCATAAAATCTCTACCCCAGAAGTAGAGGTGTGGCACAGTGGGAGAGCACTCACATAACACACACAAGACCCTGGGTCGGACCCCAGCATTGGGGCAGGGCATGTGGGGGAAATCTCTGCCTCTGGATGGTCCTCCAATTCAGCTTGTGAAGATAATAACCCAGCGGCCCCTGAATCCGCTGTCTGGCACCAAACAATTTAGTCCTGTTTCCTCTGACAAGTAACCAGTTTACATATTAAAACAAGAAACCAGGGCTGGCAAGATGGCACATTCAGGTACACGCTTTTGCCACCAAACCCAAGTTTGATCCCTGGGACCTATATGGTACAAGGAGAGAACTGACTCCCACAAATTGTCCCCTGACCACATGTGCCGTGGCACGTGTACTGCGCGCGCGCACACACACACACACAAACACACAAGCGCACATGCGCTAAAATGTAATTAAAAAAAAAAAAACAGAAAATTGGAAGAGAAGAGAATGTTACCACTTATTTGACAATATAAAGAGCCTTTAATCCCGGCACTCAGGAGGCAGAGCCAGGCAGATCTTTGTAAGTTTGAGGCCAGCCTGGTCTATAGCGTGCTCCAGACCAGCCAGGACTACGCAGAGAGACCTTGTGTCACAGAAAACGAGGAAAGCAGGAAAGGAGCTCTCAGGATGTCACCTGCCCGTCCTCGCCGCACTCACCGTGCTGGGAGGAGGAGGAGGAGGACCTCTCCAGCATGGACTTGTAGAGGTTGCGGAAGGACCAGCTTAGGTCCTGAAAGTTGATCTCTGAGTAGGAGAATTTGAAGTCGTGGTTGGTGTTGTAGAGGGGAGGGGCACCGTCTGTGCTTTCTCGGCCTGGAGCCCCTGCTGCGGCCACTGCTCCGCCATCCACAGACCCCGGGCCCTACAAAAACAGGTAAGGACGGGTAAGGACGGTGAGCTCCGTCCTTTCTGAAGCAGCATAACCCTCCAAAGGCCACCAGGCTCTCAGGCCTGTCCCCGTCACCCTCTCCAGCTGACCCGTGGCACGGCGTCACCTGCTCTTCCTGGCCGGCTCCCGTCTTGAATCTGGCCTCCTTATTATCACTACCCACTCCTTCCCCAGGACCCTCCTAGGGTCCTCCTGCCTCCCCGTCCCGGCGGTGGCTTTCCTGGCTCTTGCTCTTCTCACCACTTATTTTCCTGATTTGCTCAAAATTCTGCCATCCCTTTGTCTCCTCCGTCGGCTCCCTCTCCTCCCTTCTGGCTGGGTTTCCCTCTTTTGCGTTTTTCTTCTTTCCCAATCTACCTGCCTAGCATATCCCGGGTCCTTAGCATGTAACTGTGAAGAGAGCGGTATCCGAACCTACTCAACCATGCAGCGGTTGCCCCGGGCCTGCGTCCTACCTGGCTGTAGCTGGCCATGGAGGAGGGGCTCTGCAGTGACATCTGAGGATTCCCCTCATGAGGCAGCGAGGTTTCTCCACTCCCTGGAACACCTCCCCGGGGGCTTTTGCTGGCCTCCTGTTCTGGGGAGTCTTGGGACAGCTGAGAATTATGAAAGGAGAGAAAGCTATACGCAGAGGTGAACACCCACCCGAAGCCCATGAAAACGTCTCCCCTTTGCCGGTGTTAACCCACATTTACCACAGACATGACTAAAACCCAAGAAAGGGTGTCCCCAAGGGGAGAGAACTTACGTCATCATCTGGAGGGTGTCTTCTCTTCCGGGAAATGTCCGGGCAGGTGTCAATTGTCCAGTAAGAGCCCTGGAAGGAGAAGCCAACCCCACGGAGAAGAAAAGCATTACCTACAGACGTTCCCGTTGGAAACAAGTGCTCAGGAAGTTTCTTACAGCAGTCACGCTGAAAACGGGCGGGCGAGGCTGGGAATGCGACCCGGTGTAGAATGGTGGCCTAGCTCGGACAACGCCTCAGATTGGACTCCCCAGTACAGACCAGAAGAGAGGAAGAGGGAAGTGAGACCAAGCCAGAGAGAAGCCAAGGCAAGGCAAGGAGGAGAAGGGAAGAAGCGGGCTGGGCGTCCAGACAGAGTCCTCGGGAGCCGGGAACCCGTGAGGAATGATCTGTCCCCAAGGTCACTCCCCAGTCCAAACACTAGCCTCAAAGGTCACAACCGGGCAGACGAGCAATGGTAACTATGTCGAGAGCTGGAAATGGCCAGAAAGCCCTTTCTCCCTTACGACCTGAGGCAAAAGTCCAGTGGGCCTTAGCATCTGTCAAATGGGGAGAATGATGCCCCGCCCCCCTTGGAAGGCAAAACCTGAAGACTCTGCATAGAAAACCTTCCAAAAATTAGTGAGCAAACTGGGTATGCTGGCACACACCTAAAATCCCAGCACTCAGGAGGGACTAAGGCAGGAGGATGGCGAGTTCAAGACCAGCCTGGGCTACATAGCAAGACCTTGTCTCAAAAAAAAAAAAGAAAGAAAAGAAAAGAATGGGGGGGTGGGAGGAGGGAGGATGGGGGAATCTGTGGCTGATATGTGAAATTAAGTTAATTGTAAAATAAAAATATTACTAAAAAAAAAAAAAAGCAGTGACTAAGCCAACATTTTACATGTAGGAACAAGAGCCACTACAGAGTGAGACTAACTCAAAAACAATAAGAGAGGCTGGCCACAGTGGTGCATGCCTTTGCTGTTTGTTTGTTGTTTTCTAAAACAGAGTCTCTCTATTAGGCCCTGGCTGTCCTGAAACTCTCTATGTAGACCAGGCTGGCCTTGTACTCAGAGACATCCACCTGTCTCTGCCTCCTGAGTGCTGAGATAACAGTGTGCCTCACCACGCCCATCTTGGTATATGCCTTTAATCTCACCACTCAAATCTCTGAGTTGGGGGCTAGCCAGGTCTACATATTAAGTTCCAGGCCTACACGGTGAGACTCTGTCTCAAAAGATAGGAAGAAAGAAAGAAAATAAGGAAGAAATGAGGGAGGGAAGGAGGGAGAAAAAGGAAGGAAGAGGAAAGAGAACCTCAAAATTAACTCTATCATAAACATCCCTATTAAAAACAAAAAGATTTCATCGTCTTCCTTAGTCACCCATTCTCGTGAGGAATCAGAAGCTTGGCAACCATGTTCTTCCTTTGAGGAAAAACAGAGATGCTTTGAAAATTAACACGGTTTCCTCCTCTAGGTAATTAGAACAGCCACAGGACTCTGAGTGTAAACTACCTCACTCTCCTTCCTTCTCCTTTGATTCCCCAGCGTCTCACCTTCCCAGGGTCATCCCGAGGTCTGGGCACCTTCCGGAAGCACTTGTTAAGAGAAAGGTTGTGTCGAATGGAATTCTGGGGAAGCAAAGAAGCAAGTTAGGTCGAGCATTGGGCAAACCACAGTATTTTCCAAAGGACACAGAAGAGCACACAGTGAAGTTCCAGGGCACATTCAGCACCTCCTCACTGTATTGCTGGAGGGAGCGACACACAGAAAGCGGAGGGTGTGAAAGGAAATCACCGAGTTAACTGGCCAGGGGCATGGCGACCAGGTGCTCCTGAGAGTTTATAGTTCTTCAGCCTTCCTACCAAAGTGACAACAGGTTATAAATGCCTCAAGCCAGGAGGGTCGCTGAGGTCAAGCCTAGCCTCATGATAGCGAGTTCCAGGACAGCCAGAGTTACATAGTAAGACCCTGTCTCAGAAAACGAACAGCAAAAATAGCCAGACATGGTGGCCCACACCTGTAAGCCCTGCACTCAGGAGACACAGGCAGGAAAGTGGCCGCAAATTGGAAGCCAGCCTGGTCTACAGTCACATAAGTTCTAGGGCAACCAGAACTGCATGAAAAGACCATCTCTCAAAAAATAAGCCAAGCGTAGGTGCATGCCTTTAATAAGCCCAGCTCTCAGGAGGAAGAGACCAGTGAATCTTTGTGAGTTTGATACTACTCTGGTTTACACAGTGAGTTCCAGGACAACTAGAACTGCAGGATGAGACCATGGGAGGTAGGGGGCTGACAGGCTGATGGTTCACCCTGGGGACCTGGTCCCTGAAACCCACATTCAGATGGAAGGGAAAGAATCAATCCTACAAAGTTATCCTCTGACTTCCACATCACGGCACACGCACGTACACAAACGCACGCTCATGCACACACGCACACACCATGCACACATACAAACAATAATAATAATAAATTATAAGTAGGAGCAGGGGAGATGGTTCAGTGGATAAAATGTATAACACCCAAGCAAGAGACCTAAATTACCTAAGTTCAAATCTCCGAAATTCACATTAACTAGGCATAGCCAAGCACACCTGCAATCTCAGAGGTTTTAGGATTAGATGTGAAGTGGAGACATAAGAATCCCTGGAAGGAACCAGGCAGGGGGGAGCGGGGAGGGGGGCTCACACCTTTAATTCCAGGACTGGGAGGCAGAGGCAGGCAGATCTTTGAGTTCAAGGCCAGCCTAGTCTACAGAGTGAGTTCCAGGCAGCCAGGTATACACAGAGAAACCCTGTCTTGAGAAAAAAAAAAGAAAAAGAAAAAAGAAAGAAAGAAAAAAACAAACAACAACAATAAAAAAGGCCAAAAAAAGAACACCTGGAAGATCACACTAGCCCACCTGGCATAAAGCAGTGAACAATAGGGACCCTGCCTGAAACCAGCGGGAAGATGAGGATCATACCCCAGGCTGTCCTCTAACCTCCATAGCCACACAAGGTATGCATGTACTCACACTCTGCACACACGTCATAAACACACACACACCAACAAATAAGCACCTCAAATTCATATCTACCTCACTTCTCAATTCCCTCTGAAAAGCAAAAGAGCAGCATTTTTATACTGCTTATATATATGATGACAAGACCAAAATCATTCAGTGGGGAGATGGCCCCCTGAGCAAAGCTCACAAGTGTGAGGACTGATCCCCAGGACCCACATAAAGCCGGGAGCAGTAGGGTGCTCTGTAATACCCCCGCAGCTACACAGGGAACACTGTGTTGTCCTACAGCAAATGGGAGGCAGAGACAGTGCTCACAGTTCACAGGCCTGCTACACATCACACAGTGTTAACAACCAAGAGACCCTGCCTCCAAGACAGAAGGCAAGGACCAGCACCCAAGGTTGTCTGCTGACCTCCACATGTGCTGTGGCACCCAACACCATGGCCCTCTAGTACCCTCACTAACACACAAAAACATGTATACACACACACACACACACACACACACACACACACACACACACAAAAAAAAAAAAAAAAAAAAAAACAGCACAGATCAGCTCCGTTTCCTCAGTAACACTCAGAATGACCACATCTGGAGAAGAGGCAAGGCCGGAGTACGCACGGTGGGTACATTGAGAGCTGCAGCCTAGCGGGGACACATTTACCAGGGGAAGATCGAATGCTTCCAACAGCCTCAGCTCATCATCTGGTTTGTAAGCCGGCTGGTGATTTATAGAGTGAGAAATCCACATTTAATTCCCACTTCTACTCGACAGCTGGCAAATGAGCTGCTGCTCCAAACGATTACAAGAAAGCCTGGCGTGGTGGTGCATGCCTGTCACCCGGTATTGGGAGGTCAAAACAGGAGAATCAGGAGTTCAAGGTCAGCTACAGCTACATCATGAGTTCCAGGCCAGGCCAGCCTGAGCCACAGTCACAAAATAAATAAATCCTTGAGGGCTTTTCTTGTCTTTGTTTGGGTTCTTCCTCCTCCTCCTCCTCCACCTTCTCTTCTTCCTCCTTCTTTTTCTTCTTTATGAGTTGGGGGTGGGTCTCACTATGTAGCCCTGGCTGGACTGGAACTTGCCATGTAGACCAGACTGATCTTGAACCCAGAGATCCACTCACCTATGCTTCCAAAGTGCTGGGATTAAAGATATATGTGACTAGGGCTAGAGAGATAGCTCAGAAGTTAAGAGCATTGGCTGCTCTTCCAGAGGTCCTGGGTTCAATTCCCAGCACCCACATGGTGGCTCACAACCATCTGTAATGAGATCTGGCGCCCTCTTCTGGCCTGCAGGTGTATATGCAGACAGAACACTGCATACATAATAAATAAATGGGTTTTTTTTTTTTTAAGGTATATGTGACTAAACCTGGCTTAAAAACATATAGTTTAACATCAACCTTCTTTCCATTATTTCTGTCTAACAACCTCGCTGCTTGCTTAGTGAACCTGCTATTGGTAAAGGACCTGGTTATTCTCTTTTTCTTACTATATACAATATTTCATGAAGACAAGGAAGCTACAGAAATTTGAGTTTCCTACCCAAGGAGGAGTCATGCCTTGCCTTGCTCAATGACTTGAACATTGCAGGGTGACAAGAAATCAAAGACTGCCCTTTGGGGGAACCAGACAGTAAGAGGGTGTGGTCACCAACAGCACCTGAGATGGCATAACTACACTGACTGGCTGGCATCACCAGTGTTCCCATGATAAAGCTCGTGAAGAAGTTGATTAATGCTAAAGTAAATCAAAGCAGAGGCAGAAGAGAGGAGCCCTTGAGTTTAGACATCCCTGAGACAGGTCGGAACGAGCCAGACCAGGTCACGGGAAGACACAAAAGTGGAGAGGAAGGCTGCTAGCAGCTAAGTACAAACCGGGCCACAGAAACAGTCCCACCTTCCAGCCAATGCCAGCGTTCTTGTAGTAGGGGAAGTTATCGCAGATCCAGCGGTAGATCTCACTGAGGGTCATCTTCTTGGCTGGAGAAGAGTTGATGGCGTAGGTGATGAGGGTGGCGTAGCTGTACCGCGGCTTGCCGTCTTGGTGGACTGCTGCCTCATCTTTGCTGAGGGTGGCGTTAGGATCCGTGGGAGAGCCTGGGGAACACTTTCGGCTGCCCCCTGGAGGCCCAGCCTGAGAAGCGCTCCCAAGCTTCTCAATACTAGCTCGGAGGGTCAGCTGGGGCAGCCAGTCTATGGAGGTGAGGCTGCTCTCTAGGTCGGAGGCCATTGTACTTCTGGGTTCTGCAGGGAAGAGGATAAAGTGGGGAGGAAAGCAGATCAATTTCCCGTTTACTGGGGCAAGAGCTACTCCACGTCCAATCTATACGGCAAGCAGTTTCTTCCCACTTTAATGCCCACTGGAGAACCGCTCCTGAGATGACCCATGATCCCAAGTGCAAGTACCACCAGCCACCCACCGGATGACAGAGTGCTTCAGACCCCACATCTTATTGGAGAGTGTGACCACAAGGCCTCTCCCTTCACGCAGGATCAGATCAACACCCCACAAAAACTGAACTATTCCCTCAATTCTCCTTATAGCCCCACAACACAGTATTTTTAAACTCTATATAAGAATAAGTTAGAAGAAAAAAATCCACCCCACTTAGACAGCAGGTAAAATTAGCTGAAGTCCATTCTCCAATTACACGACACTTGTATGTTTATATATAGCATCCACAAGTACACAGCAATTGCACATATAAGACAGTCTGAGCAAACACAAGCATGCACCAGTGAAGCATACATCACCACTCCCAAAGATGCTTTGTACCGAACAAGAGCACTCAGCCTTGTGCCACACACACGTCCAACGTAAGGTATATTAGACATATCCCAAGGGCAGGTTCTAACAACTGAGGGGTGGGGGGTCTGGGTGCACAGGTCTGTAAGCTCAGAGGCCGAGGCAACAGGATCACAAGTTCAAGGCCCGCCTGGGCTACACAGTGAGTTCACAGGCAGCCTAGGCAATTTAGTGAGACCCTATCTCAACATAAAAAGTTCAAAAGACAGGGGCAAGAGATGGCTCAGTTTAGAGCACTTGTCGTTCATGCAGAGGATTTGAGTTCCGTTCTCAACACTCACAACCATCTATAAACTCCCATTCCAGAGAATCCAACACCCTCTTCTAGGCTCCTAGAGCATGAGGCACACACACACGTTACACATACATACATAAAAATAAAATAACTTTAAAAAAGAAATTAAAAAACAAAAGGGGGCTGAAGGTGTAGCTCTTGCTTGAGACCCTGGGTTCGGTCCCCGGCACCATAATAAATAAATAAATAAATACATAAATAAATAAATAACCAAATAATGACACCCTGCAACAGCAAGATACAAGATTCACACATGGGCAGTGAGCAGCGCGCACACAGAGGTCACAACATGTACGCGGCATACATTACCAAACAAAGTCACACAGAAGAAACAGATCCTGAGTACACAGCTACCCTCACACCTTTAAAGCTGCCCCTAGCAGGCTCCCGCCCACAGACACGAGCACCAGGAAGAAGTCATCAGCAGGGACCTCCCACCTCCCAGGCCTGCTGGGCTTCACCAAGCCAGGGAGACACCCAGCTGTGTGCACACCGGTAACAATCAGATAGCCTGGCTAAAAATAGCCTCCGTGGGGCTAAGAGCTGGCTCCCCTTCCCCGCCCTTCCCCTCCCTCCTTCCTTCCCAGCCAGGCACGCAGACGGGCTGCACCTCCATGCAAACTCCTAGAGCTACGATTCCGCCCACGCCTGATGTTTGCCGGTCCTGCCGCCAACCAAACCGCCTAGGCGCTCACCACCAGGGAGGTGTAGCTAGTGGCATGTTGGTGGAGGAAGGTGAAAGATGGGGGAAGCTGTATTGCAGGGTCCACAAAGGCTGACAGGAACCTCCGCGTAGCCGTGCGGCACTTCCTCGGAGCCGAAGCCAGCGAGCCCCCAAGCACTGGCTGTCTAACAGGTCTGTGCCTGCACAGATGCCAGATGCCAGGGAGCATGCCTTGCTCAGGCGCAGCAGGACAGCGCTCTGCACCAGCCAAGGCTACCCCGCAGAACTTAGAACGCTGGTGAGAACCCTGTTCTGCGGGTGATGGATGTCTCTCTCAGTCCGTAGCCAAAAGGTGCCCAACCAGATGAGTCACGGGTGAGGATGCACAGACTCACTCTTGGCAGGCCCGAACTCCGTCTCAAGCAGGACCCCTCTCTTCACCCCAGCACACCACGTACCTTTCTGGCCCTGTTGCATCCCAAGTTGAGGTTTCGCCATAGACACTTGCCCTCTCCCTACAGGTCAGACTTCTCATTCACTCCCCTCCTGACCAGGTCCCACCCTTGAAATCAACCTGTGCTCACATGTTACCTGGCCCAGAGCTCCCAACCGGCAACACGCCTAGTCCACAAAGCTGAAGGAAACATCTTCTGTGCCTCAAGGGGCTAGGCAGCAAGAGACCTACCTGCACCCCAAGAGTTGCTGGAGCAGAGAAAAGCAATGGGGCTGTGTTAACCTGTGTTAATGGTAACCTGTACCAAGAGAGCCTTCCCATTCAGCCTTAGCTTTCTCCTCACCAGCGCCAACCTTCTCACCCTAATATCGCCACCTTGCCCCAAACCCTGGAGACTTGGAAAACAATAGGGACATGTCATCACTCCAGGAAGCCACACACCTTCTAACCTTTTGCTGTGTCCAAACATCCCAGCCTCTGAACTGCAGCAGGGAGCTTGGGCAGTGTCTGTTCCTTAGCTGGGTTCTCTAAGATCAATGGTGACATGCCAATTAGCAAATTCTCAAAGACCAAGTTCATCCCTAGAAAGATAGTACCCTGCTCCCTAGTCAATCAGCCACTGGCCTCCTCCACCCAGGGTGTGTGTGTGTGTGTGTGTGTGTGTGTGTGAAGTCTGTTGTCCACACTGGTCTCAAACTCCTGGACTCAAGCAATCCTCCTGTGTTGCCTTCCCTGGGTCTACAGGGCATCAGTCCAGCCTAGTCCCTATTATCTCCTGCTAAATAAGCCTGGAAAATCTCATCTTTAGGGCCAGAAAATTTCAGTTATTTCCTCTGAAATGCTCTCAACCCCAACCTGGAGCACGAGGGTGGATTTGAAGTATGTAGAGGCCTTACATTTGACACATGCCAACCACCAGGGATTCCTGAAAGGGAGACACTACCTGCCTCTTCTAGCTCTTTCCAGCTGTCCTGCGCCCTTCCACACAGTAGGACCCTGGGGTTAGATGCCTTTCTCCACTACCCTCCCAGGCAGCCCTCCGTCCCAATGCAAACCTCAGCTCTGGGTACATTCCAGCATAGCTCCACAAAGCTCACAGGGCCTGGTCCTCCTGGTCTCCCGGCACTCTGCTAGCCTGGCTCACTTCCTTACTCCCTCACTTCCCCATTCATAAAGGGTAGTGAAGACTGACTGAGCTTCCTCCATCCTATTCCCAACCCCAACACTGACTCACTAAGTGCCCCTAGCCACCCCTCGCACCCTGATGAAGTCTCGATGCCTCAGTTTCCCCCTCCAGTAAAAGAAATGAAGTCATAGCCCCTACCGAGGCTGCATCCCTGGAGGGACAGGAACGAAGCTAATGAGCTCGTAGCTGCCACACATTCCACACTCCCCAAAATAATGGCACAAGGCTAATGTCCAGGCTATTATTAGAAAAGCTAACAAGAGGTGGCTCCATTTCTCAGGCCAGCCAACCTAGTTACCCAGACCTCTCTCCAGGTGGGCCTCGTGCCACTGGGCTCAGGCAGAACCTGAGTCAGGCCACATTCTTCTCCTCGGCATGCTGGAAGACTGAAAGGAAATACACACAGAATCTGGGAAAGGCGGCCAAAGGGCAGGCTCCATCACATCCACGGGACAGCTAACGAAGACTACAGTGCTGGGAAAAGGCCGAACACCAAACAAAGGCAAACAGAAAGGCTTCTTGGGGAATGAACGGCCGGAGGTATGGGACCCGAAAGAGCCACAAGAACCTGCGCTGTGTACTGCCCAATTTACCCAAACAGCTAGTAACTGTTCTCCATGAGGTACCCAAGTCAGGTACCCAGGAGGGATAACTTCCTGGCCTGTACGTAATGCCAAAGCTAACAGGGCAGTGATAGAGTGTATCCTGTGATCAGCCACATTGCCCGGGTTCTAAGCCCAGCTCTGATGGACAAGTCGTTTAACATCTCTGTATCTTAATTTCTAGCTCTGTAAAATAAAATTAAAAATTCTAAAAAGTTAGATACAGTGACTCAAGCTTGTATGTACTCCTAGCACTCTGGGAGGATGAAGCAGGAGGATTGCCATGAGTTTGAGCCAGCCTGAGCTGCATAGTAAGCTCAAGGTCAGCCACGGCTACATAGAGA